ATAATAAAAGACTGCTGTTGGATTTTGAGAAAGGGAAAATGTCGCAAAAACTGATGAACAACGGAACCGCACCAGATTTGGTCCAGATTCACGCCAAGCTTGAGAATTTTTTCAGGGGTTTCACATGATATGGAGCTTAGAAGAGCTCTAAAAGTCTCTCATTACTTTTCGATGGAAACAAAGGCGGTGTTACAGAAATAACATCCATTTTCATCCAACGGTGCTCTGTCATCGAATCTTCTTGAGAACTTTATGCCTCAACAGACTTTTGTTTCATGCATGTAAAGGAATCCCAAGATCGTTCTTGATCGGAAAATGTGAAAGACGTTCATTTGTGGCAAGGAATCGTGTGCGAAAACTGGGCTGATTTTTGCATGAAGGTGCAGCCCAGCCGACTGGAGCAGGGTCCTTTTTCCTTGCTATGTCGAATGAGTGTTTCCGTCTCTTGTCTTTTCAGAACTAATGTTCTTCTGTTAGTAGTGCTCTCCTGAAGAAAACCAAGCTATTAGGGAAGGTAGAGCTGTCGAGAAGAGAGCAACAAACCCATAAATCCGAAAAAGATCGGCAGAAACAACTATTACTTCAGTCGGCTCGGCTGCACCTTCATGCAAAAATCAGCCCAGTTTTCGTCACGATTCCTTGCCATAAATGAACGTCTTTCACATTTTCCGATCAAGAACGATCTTGGGATTCCTTTACATGCATGAAACAAAAGTCTGTTGAGGCATAAAGTTCTCAAGAAGATTCGATGACAGAGCACCGTTGGATGAAAATGGATGTTATTTCTGTAACACGGCCTTTGTTTCCATCGAAAAGTAATGAGAGACTTTTAGAGCTCTTCTAAGCTCCATATCATGTGAAACCCCTGAAAAAATTCTCAAGCTTGGCGTGAATCTGGACCAAATCTGGTGCGGTTCCGTTGTTCATCAGTTTTTGCGACATTTTCCCTTTCTCAAAATCCAACAGCAGTCTTTATTATGCTGTTCTCTTAAGAAGTGAAGTGTTACCACAATGAAAAAGTTTCGTGGAACAGAAGTGAAAAGTAATCGATAAACGTGAGGTGGACGTATAATTTTGGGACGTCGGCTGAGTGGCCTTTTACACAAAAATTATTGGGAAAAATTCCTGTGATCTCAAATAGAAAATTGATGTTCATAGGCAATTGCGTATTTATATGCGATACATTGTCACATAGGAGACTTTTTTCGTAACATCTTTCTGAGATTTTGGGAAATTCTTAGGTGGACGTATAATTATGGGACGCAGTGTATTCCTAGTTTGCAGAATGTATGACACGTTACGAATTAGTGAATGAACGGAACCGAACGACCGTGAGAGGCTTCTGATAATCTTCCATGCTTACTTTCAGAAAGTCCAATGTTTGAATTTTTGTTTCCACTTTCAAATTTTTACGATTTGTTTAAATTTGGCAAGATTACAATGCCTTATGGTTCAGAAGTACATTTTCTTCTTCATAATTACCACTTTTTCACGTAAAAGTATTATTTGAAAATCAAAGCCACATGAAGTGAAGCACCCACTCTATGAAAATAAGCAATTCTCATATCCTTCAATCTTCAGAACTCACTGAATTCGCGTCCTGTCAAAGCAGCTGGGCTCTTTTGAGTCATGTGTGGGAAACAGACCTTGCGAGGACAATCGGGAAGATCATTTTTTCTCGCAACGGTACCCGGTTTTTTATAGCAGAAAACAACTGTAGGCAGATGATGCGATAATTGGCCGTGCTTTGGGAATGAAAGTAGAGCTGGTGAGAGGTGCAGCAACGACGGTAAAAACTAAGGGAAATGGCCTGAAACCCGCGAAACGGCGCCCAGGTTTTACCAGTTGAAGTCGCATCGCTGCTCACATCACCAACACGAACGCTATTCTATGTTCTATGCTAAAGCTAGAGTGCAACGGCGATGGACCAGCAGCTATGGGAGGTGGGCAGAGGGGCGATTGGGTAGAGGGACGGTTAAACCGAACTAGACCGAACGGGATCTACCTTTAAAAGTGCCACGTAAAATTGTCTTATGGTTAGTGTGCACATATCCTTTTCTTCAAAACCAAATTTATCATCTTCCGTTATCTCGCTCTCCAAAGCTTCCAAGAGGGATTCAACGCTATCCTTACTGCTCGGTCATCCCCAGTAATCGTCGGCAGCATAATTGTTGATATTTCGGGGTTGGGGTTCTTCTGAAAGTAAAGTCTGATCAAATTGGTGTGTTATCCCGTTTGATCAGACTGTGATGTAAGTGACAGTGTAGATGGAAAGTGTAACGTCAGTAGAAAAAAAAGGAATAAAATATCGACAATGATGACCATAAAACCTTTGTATGCGATAGCGGCGAAGCGGAATAGTTGATTCAAGGGCGGGGCCAGTAGTGCTGGGCGGGGCCAATACCGCGCCCTAGTTAAGCGCTTGGCCTTGTCAACTCATCCGAATCCTGCCTGTGTTTCACTGCATTTTTCTCGGGTAGCTTTTTTCAATCGGGCCTTGGTTTTAACGGCGCTTTTATTCAAGGAAGCGGATGTGAGGATCATGAGTTTCAGAACTAGAACTTTCAAGCAGTGCACATGTACGCTCTCCCAAATGAAAGAAATCGTAAAGGAGAAGAAAACTAAAAAACTAAGTGAAAGCGAAAACTGCATGAAATTGGACTGCTCAATTGACGCAATTTTTTCAATTTTTCCTGCCATCCCTGACTTTCCGTGCCTGGTTATCCGAGGCTTTTCCTTCCACATGTGTTAGATGTGCGCTTTCCTAGTGTTTTCCACTTTGTAAATCTTGTAATTCGATGCGAAGTATCATATTCAGAGGATGATTTTATTTCAAGGAATCCTTCGGGGAAAATTCTTGCATTCTTTTTCAGCATGAATGTATCTGTTTGTTTGTGTGTTGTCTGTAGTGGTTGTGATCCACTACAGACAACAGATAAAGTTTAACGCACGAAGATTCGGTTTCCGAAGAGAAACAAACTTACAAAAACTATACTCTATGGTAAAGGCGCGGAGCCAAAGGCGGGGCATGGAAAGAAGTCCGCCTTGGGGCGGCTACGTATCAGGCGACGCAATGAAAGAATCGGGTTAAAGCGCGCGATTTCGGAGAGTAGAGACAAATCGATCGATAGAATAGGATGCAGTAGAAGTGAGATGTGAATGCAATAAGTCAAAAGGCCAGAAAGAGTTTCTAGTGAGGCACTCCAAGAACCAAGTGGAAGCATCCCGTCGCCAGCATTTGTGACAGATGTCCGGCGGTACTTTGAACGCGTAGCAGCCTTTCGGTTTTTCGAATTTTTACCAAAACAAATGCAATTTTTCTGTTCTTTTCATTCTTATCGTGGATGATGGTCTCAAGCCAGTGATTTATGGCTGAAATAGAATCATGATTTTTCCGTGAAGGATTCCTTTAATTTGCAATCGAGAGAGGTAGAGGAATACTAGGGAAAGCGCACTATCGTCAGGTAGCATTGAGAACATAATCTTGAGACTCAACACGTTCATATGTACCACTGAGTGGAGATAAATTACAACAACAGCGATTTCAGGATGTCACTGAAGAAATTGATCGACGTGTCCACACTCTCTCAGCTATTGAAAAAGAACATCATCAATAAAGAAGGTGTTCGTCTTCTGGACTGCTCATTTGTCGTTGGTGACAAGCCCGACTGGAAGATGTTCAAGAAAGAGTTGTACGGCAACTTCAAGGAGATCCTCTCTCGGCCGAGCATGTGAGCCCTGTTACGTTATCATTGGAGAGCGATTCTCGAAGACACACTCCATGAATGCAGGACATGGTTTGTGGGGTCAAGAGATGAAACTTTGAGTGGGAAATGCTTCGATGGCATAAAAAATCGAAATACTTAGAAGCAGTCCGGGAAAAGTCTTCCTTTTCGCAGTTGTTTTTGACTTTTGTACGAGAGAAACTGCAAAAATTCATAAAAGAACTATTACATGCTCTACAGGCTTTTCCTTTCAGGTCAAAGGATCTCTACCTTTCCGCACACATTCCCGAAGCGGTTCATGCATCAATGGATGCGGCTATGTATCCTTCGCAGTACGAAAGATTTGCTCTATATCCACCTGAGATTTTCGAAAAGTTTATTCAGGTATGTTCACATAGTAATCAACAACCAGCGTTTCTGTTTTGACATACGATGAGGTTTGTTCTTCCTAGATGCTCGGCGTCAATGATGGTGAACATATAATCCTGTATTCTCGGGACGATCGAGGAGGAATGGAGTACAGTACCAAATTCTCCTGGCTGTTGAAGGCACGCATTCCTTTCTTTCCATTTCTCTCTTTGGTCACCCATATGGCTAATGATTCTAGTCTTATGGTCACGAGAAGTCATCAGTTCTTGATGGGCGCTTCGCTTTGTGGAGAAGAAAGGACTTGAAATTAGTACTGAAGACGTACAGCTTCCGGTAACTTTTGGTGCTATCGTCATCGTCGTGAGATGCAAAGCGGCGACAGATTTGATCATGATCACTCTCAGGCTGAACGTGGAAGGCCAAAGATAATATCGCTTCTAACGCAATATAATATGATGATTGGAAAAAGAACAGCGGAAAAGCAGTCCATGACGGACAGACGAAGTAAGTGTATTGATTGCATGATATGGTAGTGAGCAAGCAGACATCGGCGCGGGAATTCGATTGGAAATTTGATATCCCACAGAGTCGCATTTGAACGCTGGCCGCTCCCACTGATACCTTGGTCCTGAAGGCTAGAATCATTCCATTATTTGCATGGCCACTAGGGATCCGTCCCACAGACAATCATATCGATACTTTCATTTGAAACGCAGAACTTCATGCGTTGCGCATGTTAATAAAAATCCGTTATTATGAGCGGTCCAAGTGCCGTTCAGTTCTGGTCGTTTTCCCTGTTCTAGGTAATTTGTAAAGTTGAAGACGTTATTGACCGAGTTTCCATCAGATTCGTCTTCTAAACATAAACATGGTTTGAGAATAGAGTTCGCTCAATCGTCAACTACTTCCCCCCCCCCCTTCTACATGCGTTCCTGGCCGATAGAGATCATTTGATCCCCGAACAAGGAAAACAACTCGTCAGGTCAATACTTATGCCGAACGGTGCCACTATGCCAGCTAAATTGCTTACTAGCCTAACCTCAATTGCGCAAAGAAAGCACGTAAACATCAGTGCCTATGTTCGGTAAGAAAGGAGTTCAGATGCCAACGATGCTTAGTTTTTCAATGATGAATAAAATAATCTCTCGAAGGCCGTGTTGCAACATCATGAGTGCAATGTGGAGGAGAATCGAGTGGGTCCGTCTGTTATTTGCGGCGCCTAACGAGTGAGGAGAAAAAGTAGACTTGAAAAAATGAAAGGATTTTTAAATACTTAAGGGGAAGAAGCAACAATAAGGTTTCGATGAAAAAGGAATGTATTTAGAGTGATCTACCTCCTATGAAAGTAAATCGCTTGTTAGATTCGGCTACAAAATCATTTGTGGGGTTAGGGGTAGCAATAAAGCTTCCCCTGTTGCGCTCGTCATCTGTTGAAGAACCATGGGCTGTACCTCGTTTGTCGTCACATCTTCGCGGTTCAGATGATAGATTGTTATCTCAGTGATTATAGGTAAACTTTCTGGATGCTCGCATTCGTGGTCAGTTCAATGGCACCGAGGATACGGGGATGGATGTGCATAGTTCGTCTTCGATTACTCCTTATAAATTTTCCATTTGAGTTTGCCTGAGGCCATTGTGAGGATTTCTTCATGAAGCGCTGAGAAGGCATAGAGCCATTAGCAAAAATTTATAGGAGACGAAGTCATTTGTCGACAGTATGGGTCAATCATTCATTTACCCTACATATACAGAACGAGGGGGGGCAAAAGTCCTTTGGCCATTAGCGTACATGAACTTTTATCGCGGCATGTGCCGCTGTGATGTAATAATTCATGTCAAATTATCCCTTAGATGTTTCTCATGTAGCAGCGACGCTCTTTATTGCCTCACACTGTTTTTTTCGTCTCAAAAGTGGCTACAGGAAGTGCGAAGGTGCAACATAACCTCTCAATGCGCTATATGAGTAGCTCCTAAGACGGTAGCTCCAGCTATGCGAGACCCCTTCCGCACGTTCAGATAAGTTCGTAATGGTCCACAATATCCGAGAGCTGTTGAGCTTCGGAACATGCACCATGTTCCAGTACAGGGTGCGCCAAAATTACGGAGACAGCGACTTCGAGTTGCCTAGGATGAGCAAGGTGCAATTCTTTGAAAACAAAATGCTGACGTGCACAGTCCCATTCTGAATCGTCGACATCCATGCAATTTTTGAAATTCCTTGTGTTTATACGGGTCCAGAACCTCAAGGAACCATCGCTGTGGCACGACCAATATGGGAGTGGACTCAAGCTCATTTTAGAGCGGTTTCTTCAACGAATCCCTAGACATAATGTGTTTTATGCAAGCCTCAGCTTCTAGAACGGATCCGACAGCGTACCCTATCGAGCTCAGATCTGAAATGCTGTTCTACCACCGTTTAAGCCGACAAAGTCGAAAAAATCGGTTCTGCATCAATGCTGCACTAGTACTGAACCACCCTTGCCTCGTAAACGGGAGCTCCTACTTGATGGAAGGCCCAGCAACGATTTTCAAAGTGAAAATAAACTCAGGATAGCAATGGCTCTGATAAGTCCAAAAGAGCCCCCCTGATTCCTATCTCTCGTGACATCCAGTGAAACCAGCGCGTCAACTACCTGCAAATTCTATCGCACACAATCCTTAGATTGTTCGTGGTCGCCACAGAAACACGCCCTTCTCATCCAGAATGACTGCATTCAGCTCCTTGTCCCCTGTACCACTTGGAGCATCTATTGATAGTGCTCGGGTATACACCAAAACGATGATAATTGTCGCGTGCCAAAAACCCTCAACGTCGAAGTCCAATGATTTAGGGACGGTGTCAGTATCAGTCAACCGCTGCAGCTACCATAGATTTTGGTGGTTGAACAAAGTAAGCATAAACAATTCTACACCACAGTACCAAAACTAGGACAGAAGAAAACAGCATCTGTGAATATCAGTTCAAATTGTTTGCTCATGCGTTGTCTCCGTAATTTTGGCGCACCCTGTAGAATCTTCTGATGCCGTCGATGTAAAAGGCTGTTACGGCGATGCATTGATTATTTAGGAGTTAAAGGCAGCAACATACCCGGCTATAAGAACGTTCCAGCAGCTGAACTTGTGAACGAAAATGGAATGATGAAAACTCCTGAAGAA